GCCGCTCGGGTTGGGGGCTGTAGGGGGTTTCCTGTCAGGCGCCTCGAAATCAAACTATAGCAAATGATGTAAGTGCGGGGCGAAGCGCGTTCCGCTCCGAGCGCGTCTGCGTGCAACCACCACCAGAAATGCCCATTCGGGCAGCTCTGCTGTCCCGTGCTGTTTGGGTAACTGCACCCTCAACCCGCAGCGTGGTGCCTGGCCTCTGCCGCCTGCCCTGCTCCTAGCGCTCTCACCTCCAAAGTTATCAAATCTGTCTCCAGACCTTGATTCGTCTTAGATCTTGTATCATATCCCCACTGCTGTCTCATTTCCCAGGTTCTCTCTGCTCATATCATGCTCTTGATGGTGTCCCCCCTGCCATGACACAGGCTGGAAAAGGTTGCAGGTGGGGTGGAATTCGTGATAAATCAGCAGGTGGATGGGGGGGAGTGGGGTTTTCAAACTAGTGCTTTAGGCCCATTTTAGCTGAACACTAACTCCAAAAGCACACTGTTCAGTTTAGCTACTGCAGCGATTTGCTGTTGTAAAACTGCTTTAGAGATCAGGTGCAAAAACATTGTTTACCTTAAGTTCAGCTGATAAGGAACTAAACTTTATTATTAGTTGTTGTTCTCAGTAACTACAGGACATAGAGAGATGACTCATGTAAAACCATACCTGCATGAACCTGCCAGGCCTGCGACTGCAGGGAGGTGGTGCCACGGGTGGCTTTGCACCCCTGCGTAAGCAGGGAGTGGTTCTAGAACAGTCTTTGTGTGTTCACAGAGACACAGGGCTCACTTCAGCAAAGTTTCAAGTACACCTTTATTTTTCCTCATATGCAGTGGTACAGCTAATTCACAAAGGAACTTCACACTGAACAGTTTCTGTACGCCTGGTATTAACAATAATGTGTTCTGTCAGTCCCTTTGCTTGTTCATAGCTCTCCAAGGTAGTGAGCCATGGTAGCAGCTGTGGTCAGCCTTTCTCCTTATTTTAGCTGTGTTTCTTCACCCCTGAAGCACTGCAGGATGACTGTAGCTCTTGTTCTTTCTGCATGTTCTCATTTACTTCAGCAATCCACTTGGAAAGTTGAGGGGTTTGGGTGTGAAATAAACAGGGGCAACAGTCTTGACTCCAGCATGTTTCAGTGATTTGGCTGTAATTGTTTATTGTAGTTTTATTTGTCAAGTACAGCTACTTGTTACTGGGTTTAAATCTGAAAATAACTGCCTGTTTATTGCATTGGGGCCAGTAAGTGTTGTGGAGTTCAGAACGGCGCAGGGAGCAGTCCTGTGACTGAGTACATGCAGTTTGTGCAAGTCAGCGTTGTGTTTCCTTAAAAAAATGCAAAACTGAAAGGCCATCAAACCGTAAAGAAAAGAAGATCAAACTTAAACTAACAACTAAAGAAAGCAAAACTTTGAAGAAGATGTGATGATTCCGGGCTTCTGTTTTGGTTTTAAGGTAATGGTCCACAGAATCAGCAAATGTGAACTTCTCTGGGCTGTACCCCAGCTGAGTCCGTGCCTTGGCTATCCGAAATGTGTGAGTTATGGAAATGTTGAGTACCTGCAGGGCAAAAAGAGTCAAGGTACAAAGAGATGAATACACAGGAAGTTGGAAGAAAGTCCATAAATGATAGCACAGAGGGAGTTAAAGGAAATGTAAAATAACCCTCCCCAACATCATATCAGTCCTGTTGACATATGTCACATCTCTTTAAAATTGCTCACTCAACAGAAGAATATCAAAAGCCCAAATTGTCAGTAAAAGCTGCAGAGCAGAATCTTCTAGTCTTGAAAGCATCCACAAAAAACATTCTGCACTCTTGTTTAGGTACCTATGGAGGCAGCTAAAAGCCATCTCTGAGGTGCATTAAGTATCTTCAGTAATTCGGGCCCAACTGCCCAGCCAAAGCCATACAGGATACTGGGCCTTGGCAGGAAGAACTGAAGTAGCCTCTCCCAGATTGTAAACATAAGCTCTTCTCTTTCCAAAGATCATGGTAAGGAGCATAATATATTACCTAAAACATACATGATGCATACATTTGCCCTGGACACTGGAGGTTGTAGCAGTACTGGGTGGGTTTTACTTTCTACTGGCTTAATCTTAAATCCTACCTCAGCATTAGTATGTATTTAACTGTCCTGTGAGAATTAAGGGGAGTTTACAAAGACTTTACCTCATTTCTGGTCAGCAGTGGGGACAGTTCAACACATGGTTTCAGCATCAGATAAAGGTATTCCATTACCAAGGCTACAAAACAGAAGATTTCCACTTGAGGTAAGAATAGTAAATTGCTATGCAGTGATAATTTTGGCCTATCTTGCACTGCATATGATAGTGAAGGACAGTCACTTACCCAAGAGCTTGGGGCACCAGTACTAACATCAATGGGGCTACTTGCTCACAAGGGGTTGGATTTAATCTTAATGCTTTGGCCAGCCTGAATGAGGGTGCTTGTGTGGAAAGGGGTTGGAGGGTTGGTGACAGCTCTAGTGAAATGATCATGAGGCTTCATAATGTGGTAACAACAAAATACTCAGAGTAAGATTCTGTCTTGGCTGCACATGGGGGGTGATACCAGAGGGAGCACGGGATACAGGAGAACAAGAAATCTACCCAAGCAGCAAAGCAGATACTCTTCAGTGTATTTCACGAGGTCATGATTTTTACATTTAACTTGTTATATTTATACTATTAACCCCACCAAGTCATACATCTGTTAAGTCCTACACATGGTTTTGTGGGGCTTAAATAAGAGATCATTCTGGTTTCAACACGCTGCACAGAGCTGAACTTCACCCCTAATTGCCACACACTAGATGAGCCCGCAGCATAGTATTTTTATACATGTAAATGAAAATTGTGGGCAAATTAAGAAAACCCAACATTTTATTACAATTAGGAACAAGGGTAGTGTGGACAGGAAAGAGAAATGTTGAGAAAATGTTGTTACCTGATGCATAAACTAAGGAAGTAGGAATACGTATCCATGGCGTACTGCAGCCTAATCTTTCAAACTGAAAAAGATTTTAAAACCAGTGAAAAAAATCAAAAACCTCAAACAAGTTTTAAAGTTCCAACACAGAAAATACTTGTGGAAATAATTTACTGATAAAACAGAAACATTCATCATTGCTGTTACTACTTGAATTTTCATTTGTTGGGGGATTTCAGTTCAATGCCACATGCACAGACACTCTCATTTTCAGTCTTTAAAAAGGGGGAAAAGTTAATAATAATTGATTGAAATGTCATGGCATGCTGATACCTAATTTAACATTGTGGCATATTTATGGGTTTGAGCCCATCGTTAACAATAACATGATCTTTCAAAAAGAATGGATATTACAGATTAATAATTAGGATTTATATTTTATGTCTACCCAAAATTGCCACTCTTAACAGGTATGTGCCCCAGAAGTGAAGATAATGGGAACTCAAAAGAGGATGCTGGTTTAGGGGGTCCTTTTGTCTCAGAGAAGACAGTTGCTTTAATGTAGTATTTTCAGTAGGCTTTGTTATGGCACTACTCACACTGGGCTACAAGCAGGAATTAAGCCCCATTCAGAATGGGACTCTTACACCCAAAGCAAACACACCAGATGTAACCTGCACGCAAGAGCTGGAGTTGTATACAGGCAGAGAAATCAATGTATTTGGAGATAAAGTGTATATTGTACGTACAAGTGGAGTTAACCATTCAAAAAGGTTGAACTTTTCACCATCATTAATGAAATACGCCTGGCCACTCTGTTAAAGAGGTAGAGAAGAGACAAGTTAGTAAAAATCACACTTCGTATGTATTGACTTCTTTATCTCACTCCTTATGAATAGCTTGTAAATAATACAGCAATATAAGATATGCATGGCTGTACAAACAAGTCAACGAACTATCTACAGGCATTTCAATCAGTTGCACTGATGTGTGCAATGAAATGGGTGGGTGAGTAGTTTAAGCAATTAACATGCCTTGGTGTAAATTATTTATTACAAATGTCTGATTATCATAGTTCAAAACATTAAGTAAGTCTGATTCTATATAGAGAGGAATGGGGGATAAATCCACCCGAGCTTCCAGTTTTATTTCCAACACAGCAAAGATTCTTTGCTCATCTTCTAGAAATGGCAAATGCTGTATGACAAAAATGCAAAGATGGAGATACTCTCACATAACAGAATATTCCAACTCTTAACACGCTGCACAGCCCATGCTGCCAGGTCTCACACTGTTCATAGCACATTTGTCAACTTAGCCCACAGACAACATAAGCAAATAAGATAAACATTAATTACTGCTACTAGAGTAGTTACTGCAGTACAGCATACAGTGGCAGGATCCACTGTCAAATGAAAAGTGTGGTGCTCTTATTGTTCACTTACAGCAATGTAGTTCTTTCCAGAGGTGAGAGCATCAGCAGCTAGAATTTGAGCTTGTATGAGATTCTCTGCATGCACCCAGTTCATTTTAGCAGAAGAATCCCCAAACTTGAAGTTAAGTAACCCTCTCTTGATATTCTTCTGTAGACATAAACAAACATGAAACCAAAGCAAGATGATAGGTTTTAAAATGAGATACAGTGCCCTTTCTTGTCCAGCTAAATGTAAATTTGTCTCTACTCAAAACCTCCCCCACTAATTGACTAAAAAGAACCAAGAGAAGTATAAAGAGCTCTAAAAATACAGCTCATGAGGAAGGATCAAAGAACATCTTGTGTCCTGAATTTACAAAAAACCCCAATTTTGTTCTAAGTATAAATAAAATATTGTGTGGAAAGGTAAGATTAAGTTCTGAATGGATCAAAAGTGTTCACAAAATTGGATCAAATTTAACATATCGCTTCTGCTGGGAAATAATGGAAGGTGGTGCTCGGTGTCAAAATTGTCATTTAACAGGTACCTTTTAGAAACTGCAAGATGTGACAGTTATATAATGCCTTAAAATGGGCTCATAACAAATAAGCTTAAAATATTGAAAGGAAATTTACAAAAGCAAACATCTCAGGTTTAACTAAAACGACGTGTGCCTTTCTTAAAATTGATTTTATTCAGAAGATTATAAAAGTATATTTTGTATATAAATAAAATATGTTTATTATGTGTTAAGCTGGAATCTGTTCTTTCCTAAAAGCTGTGCAAAACTTTGTATTGTACCGCTGCTTTTAAAATCAGGAACTCATACAATTCTACAGGGGTCACACTCTGAACACTCTACGAGGCCTACAATTTAAAAGAGAGCAAATGAAAAAGAGTAGAACGTGAGCACCTCCACTTGCTTGCCCTTCAGTACCAGAAGGTGCTTTCAACTGTGCTTGTTTCCTTGGATATTGAAAGCTGTTAATAGTTGAGACTGGAAAGAATATATTTTGCAGTATCTATTTTCATGAATATTTTAAACCATTTGGTGCAAGTTGCATGCAAACAGACATTTGAAATATCATAGATTGGCCTCAATCTTACAATTATAGTAGATATTAAGTTATAAAGCTGGATTTACCTGTGTTTGTATTTCAAAAAAGGGCTTTTTTAATGTATTATATATTCTTTACAGATAAAATACAGTGCCTGTTAGAATATCCTCAGCAGATAACTGAACTGTTGAGTTGCTGCCCAATACATTCAGTCAATTTATAACACAAATAAGAGATGTTGCTGTATATCATAGAAAATTCTACTGATTAAACAATTAAAATACATACTGCTAGCCTTGGCAAGTGTCTTTGCTCTTCTGGTCCATAGATTCCTGGTGGGCGAAGAGCACATGTATAGAGTATTCCACCTCCTAAAAGAATTGATAACATCATTCTTAAGTGACTTTCACATTACTATGTTATCTCTTTGTATGAACCAGAGACTTTGCAGAACTTACTCTGAAATAAATTAACTTCACCATCTTAAAAAATAATACATACAAAAAGGTGTTCATTAGTAGTTGACATTAATGTGGCAGAATCAGAACATGCAAAATAGCAAGATAAGCTTCAGAGAAGTCCTGCCAGCATACTCTGATTCCGAGGAATTACCAGAAATTTCAAACCCTCTTTCTAAGCAGTCCTTTGTCTCTGTGACCAGCAGTGAATGAACGTGCCAACCATGGTGATGAGTTTGCTGCAGTGAGCAAGTTGTTGGTAGGAAAGTGGAATGAAACTAACTAATTTCATACAGAATTACTGATGGGAGACAGTGAATTGCTACGAATACAAGGTAGAGGTGAAAGGTTCTCTCAACAGTAGGCATAGCCAGCTCCCACTAGAGCTGCTGCAGACGCTCTTGATAATTGCAGTGGGAGAAAGTAAGGACCATCCTAAAAATCCTATCACTTCCCAAGTATATCAGTTGGCTGGTTCATCATCTGCCAAGAACTGTTCTTCATAGTCCTTGAAAACATTCAAAATACTCAATTCTGCTACGGCGCAGGATCAAAATGGGATATTTGGAACACTGACTGGTTCTAATTTCGTTGACAAATGCAGAACTGTGTATTCCTTCTAAAATTAAGAGAGTCTTTGATGTGAAGAGCTACTGGGGAAATAAGGGAAAAAAACCAAACCCCATTTTATTTTTTAAACAAAAGGATTCTGTTGGGATGGAATGCCCATCAATGACTTTATGTCTTTTATAGCCCTCTGCAAGTATCATGTGAAGAAAGTCTCTAAGCTGTCTACAGCTAAATTTAGCTCAGTATCACTTGGTCACACAGAATCATGTTGCACTTTACATTAATTTGTTTTGCACTGGCAGTTATAGTATCCCACAGGAGAACTTAAGTATTCAAGTGTATAACTGGCTTCCTCAACACGGAAAACTTTGGGAAGCACTAATAAATAATTCCAGGCTGTAGTATCAGGTGGCTTCCTCAGATTTTAATATATAACTCTGGGAGGAGGTGGGTAACAATTTAATCAGCATTCATGTTTTACTGATGGTGCATAATACAGTGACATTAAACACTCGTCCTTGTTTAATTTATAGCTGTCTTAATCTTGTCAGTTAACATAGTGAACTCATTGCTACCGTGCTAAAACCTTTTAGGCAAACTGTGTGAACTTAAAACCAATTAAAAGTGATTTTTAAGTGAAAATATTTCAGTTTATGAGAGAGGTAGATAACTTGATTTCATATTTGCTGGACAATCTTGTCCACTAGGATTGATACAGAATACAGGATGTTAGTGAGGAACAAGAGGAGGAAGAGTAAGTTCTACTATGAATTCATGCTAAGATGAAAGTACCTGCCAGTGGAGTTCCATTAGCTGCTAGTACCATTTGTTCTGCAATTGATTTGGTTCTGGAATAATGATCAACATGCTACAGAGAAAAAGCAAATATGTTTTTATCTGTTCTTGAAATGACAGGGCAGAGGGACATCTCTTCCCCACTAGTTTTTACTTAGCAGATTGCAACAGATACCTCAAAATACAGAAGCCATGGGGTATTAGTTTAGCGTAAACCACATGCATATTGCTAAGGTAAGCAAGCATTTTTGTTTATGCAAATCCTGTTAATTAATTTCAGCACATTTGAGAAGCAGTTAATATATGTATGCTTTGAATGCTGCCAAGAATGTAACCGATCACTAGTTTGTAATCTGGATTTCTTTTCAGGTAACGGAAAAGTCAAAAGCCAAGTTCTGAAGACATTACGATTGGTCTGAGTTATCCTGTTCACTTTCTTGTGGCACTGTCCCATAGAAAATATTATTTGACATATTATTGCAAATACCATTCAACATTTTCTCTATCCATCTCTGCTCTTGAAAGACTGTGAAGTACCTGATGGAGAGAGTAGGGACACAAAAAACAACTGTGTATGCAAAGCATCCAAAAGTACTTTCTCCTTTTTTTAATAAAATCAATAAAACCATATAAAAATAGTCTGTTTTTCAATATCAGCCCTATGTGGAATATGTATCATCTTCGATAAGAGAGAAACAGAAAAAAATCATATAAATAATAAATGGCTAAAGAGGCACCAAGCCATATAACACAATCCCCAAGTCAAGGTGGAATTTCATTAATGTTAATGGGACACTGCATGAGTTATTTTCCAAAATCAAAGCCTTCATAGGAAACAAAGAAATATATACTGCAATGTACATAAAACTGATGTGTCAAGGCTGTGAATAGTGTCTATGGAGAGTGTAAAGAGTTTTCTTTCTTCTTTGTGTGCCTGGATTCTGGCATCATGTAAAACATGGTCAAGAAAACTCCAGGCTTCTTCAGAAACAAGAAAGTAGATACTTAAAAATAAAATACAACCAAAATACCTTTTCAATTGGAAAATATGGCACAGTTTCCTCATCACCATCTTCAATAGGAAGCCCTCCAAACACCACATTTACTGTACTGGTGTATACCAATCTGGCAATGTTCCTTTGCTTGCAGGCTGCAGCAATGTATAAGGTAAATTAGTTCAGTGGAAAATGAAACAATATGGAAAAAAGTTTGTATGACCTTTTTTTGAGAAACTGTCAAATCTTAAAAAGGCAAATCCTTCCATTTTATAATTGGGTTATTTAAAATGTGAAGCATATTTAAAGAGAAGACGTCAGTGTAGAATGATTTGGGTTGGAATGGACCTTAAAGAGCATCTAGTTCCACTCCTCCTGCCATGGGCAGGGACATCTTCCATTAGAAAAAGTCGCTCAAAGTCCTGTCCAACCTGGCCTTGGACACTGCCAGGGAAACAGAACCAGGTGCTTTATAATCTGGCACATCCTCATCTGGATGTTGCAAGCCAACGTTGTGCCTCTGGGAGGGCTGCTGCCAGCCCACTGAGATGAGCTTCAGCTCCAGCCAGGCAGGAAGCTAGAGTCCACACGCTTCAAGGGCTGCCCACATCCTGTGCACACGCTGCAAGGAGGTTTACTACTACAAAATACACATGGAAGTAGTTACCACCTTACATGGATACAGATCCTGACATCAGGGCAAGCACAGTTACGAAAAGCTGAACTAGTTAAACTACACAGTTCTGCTCTTCTATCACACCCCATCGCAGAATTGAGCATAACATCACCACCCCCATATGACATTTTTCCTCATTTTCTGCCAAAAATTTCGAAGTATTTGGTGAAGAATAGCATGTGCCAAAAAAGCCAACTGGCTGCTTCTAAGTGCTGTAGCATTTTGATGTGCTATGCTAACACCCAAGTGGCAAAGTTAGATACATACCATCAATGACGAATCTTGTTCCATGGATATTTACCGTTTCAATCTCTTCTCTGTGCAACTAGGAAAATAAAGAAATCGTGCATTTACACATTGTGACCTTACACCAAAGTGGCAGGTTTAGGGAAGGATCAGGGTTTTGGAGGGAACCAGCCTCCCTTGTCTTTCCTTTTATCCTCCCACTGTTTCAGAACTCTTCAATGCCATTTCCAACTCAAAAACCTTCCCAGCGTGCTGATGGAACCTTTAATGGGGAGGAAATAATTTCACAACTAGGGAAACAGTCCTGTAAGCAGACTGCTTGCAGCTGGCACACCAGTTTGCACTGACCAATTACCAAAGCAGCATGATATGGTTCAGGCTCTCAGGATAATCTGAGGAGAAGAAATCTAAAATGCAGTGTTACAGCATCAAGTCTCTCATCCTTGGCGTGGGTAGTCACACAGGAAAAAACAAACCCAAAACTGTTTGGACTCACTTGCTCTCTTCCTGACATTCCATATGAAGCTACATGAAACACACAGTCAGCCCCTTCAAAGGCTGCAAATAGGGCATCATAGTCCCTGATGTCTGCCTGTAATACATAAGAAAAGATATTTGGACTTGAAATTGAAGCTGCAGGTTAGTGTTTGTCATACACAGAGGGAATGCATATGTATAATTGTACTTACTGTGCATCCTGGGACTGAAAACCAGACCCATTTCAGTACTTGCTAATAATTATACTTTTCTTCCATAGAACTCAAAGGACTTTAAAAATATTCATTAAGCCTCATAATCCTCCTGTGTTCATTCTACAGATGATTGAACTAAGGGCAGTACTTCAGAGTCAGGAGGTGGAGTGGGTATCCTGTGCTACACATTGCAGGTTTTGTTTTTTTCCGTATTTCACATACACTAAAATCAGTTGACCAAAAATCATGTGAGATATTCACATAATTAAAAAGGTTATTGAAATTTGGAATGATTTGCAATTGGGTATTTGGGTTCTGGGAAAACTAGTAAGACATTATGGAAACGGCAAATGAACTAACTTTGACTGTTATGAAATGTGATTGATCATACCTGGATAAACACTACTCCATTGGGGATTTCCCAGATAGGCTTTTGTATGTCATAGAGAACAACAGAAGCTCCTCTGCTGGCAAGAATACATCCCAGCTTGCATCCAACATAGCCTCCACCTCCTGTCACCACTGCTCTCATCCTGGTTTCATTCAGCGCTCCAGCATATCCATTCACTTTGGAGTTAGAGGCTTGGTGCCAGGGTGTTGCTACTCCACTCAGTATGTTTTCACTCAGCGAAATGCTGTCTGCTATTAAAAGACACATGTAACAATTTCTCCTCCATGTTGAAACTGCTCCATACTGCTCGTGGATGCAGACAATCCCAGTGAGTTTCATGTTAAGAAGCTCTATTCACGGCAGCAAAGTTTTACTTTAATGCAACCTATTTAAGAGAGAGAAAGACAAGAGCAAAACACTAGCTGCAACATGTCCAGATTTCAAAAATGTCTTTAAAAAACCCATTTCAATGTTCTTCTTCGATGGTTTAAGAGTTTGCTTAACTGTAATTTTCACATTCTACAAACACTTAAAATGTCTATTTACTATATATTAAAGACAGCATCCGGAATCTACATAACAAAGGTTGCATGCTTTAGACTAAGTATTTATTTGCAAATGGTATCCAGAATAATAAAACTGAAAATAATTAACAAACGGTCCTAATGCAGAGAACATGAATCCAAATATTTTCCACAAATGGGTCAAAATCAGAATAATGGTACAGACCATAACTTTTTATTAGCAGAAAAGAAATTGCTGCCTATGTGAAATGCATCTCCTGGTCCTAGTTCCTTCTGGTGTGCATCACAAGCTCTGAGATGGCCTTTAGGGCTCAGGTGTAATAGGGGGCCACACCTGAGCTTGAAATCTTGAACTGTCAGGAAAACTCTAACAATGAACAAATTGCATTTAAGCTTCTATGCTTAAAAACAAGCAAGCAGGGCTGAGCAGAACAGCAGCAAAACAAAACATCCCCTAGAGCGAAAGAAATCTTCAATGCTTCTTCCACTGGTCCTAAAGACATCTTGAGAAAAGTGGTATTTTCAACTCTTTTCTAAGCAGCAGCAGTTAAATGTAAATTGAGAATACACCGTGGTGCATGAGGATTTCAGAAGGAAAAGGGAGTGCCTGATGCTTAGCATCTGAGAACACAGCTTTTGGGGGGATCTAGAGTGAAATAACCGCTACGTGACCAAGGGGGTCGATGAGTACAGTAGGAGACAGGTAATAGTGAACCATTTATTTTTTGAGCATGGACGTTCTTTCCCTCCGCAGTGGTCAAGGGCTGATCGCTGAAAGAGGAGGCATTTAGAGGCTGCGGATACCGATGTCCCGTCACCCGTACCCTTCCCCGTGCCGCAATGAAAGATTAAGTGTCACCCGAGCTCCCGAGCTATTCTCTGCATCTCACTTGCAAATTCCCCGGGGAAACACGCCG